CGCGAGGAGCGGCTTCAAGGTGGGCTCCGTCAGTGGGCAACCCGCGTCGTGCGTCTGGTAGACCTTCAGTTTGCCGGAGGCTGTGTCCTTCACAAGCCACGCCCAGCCAGAGCTAAAGTGACCAATAGCCACATTTGAGAACTCCTCCTTAAACTTCGCGAAGCTGCCAAAGGAGGCGTTGATCTCGTCAGCCACTTTACCCTTCGGCTCGCCGCCGCCATTAGGGCACATGCTCTCCCAGTAAAACGTGTGGTTAAAGATCTGTGCAGCAAGGTTGAAAACGGGGCCTTTTTCGGTCTTGATAATTTCCTCGATGGTCTTCTGCGCGAGCAACGGATTTGTCTGTGCCGCTGCGTTAAGCTTCGTCACGTACCCCTGATGGTGCTTGTCGTAGTGAAACGTCACCTGCTCTTTAGAGAATCCTTTGGCGGCAAGCCCATCGTAGCCCCACGGCAGCGGCGGAATGCTGAAAGTCATGCGTGTTGATGTAATTTCGCACTTGTTGTTAAAACGCGTAGAAAACGTCCCTCTCTTTGTGTTTCTCAAACCTCCAGCAAAACAGAAATCACCCACCTCCTCAGACTCTTTGACAATGGAAAAAAAAAGTGGGCATAAATGAAGAATACGATTGTAACGGCCACAGCCCCTGTTTTGTAAGCAACTGTTAAATCGTTTCTTGGCACTTGTTGTTCCCTCCACTCGCAATTGCAGGCTTCTGTGCAAAGACCAACAACAACAACGACGTCAAAAAATAAGGAGCCGCTGCTTTGAGGGCGCAAGCCACGCCCTCACACCGTCAAGCTTGGAGCTCCACCTGGTCGAAGCATGGCGTCATGAAGTATAGGCGTCGCCTGCATCCACCACCCTCTCTCGTCCTCTCTCTGTATGCTTACCGAGTGGGAAAGACCACACCACAGAAGACACTGGCGAGCCGCTTCGCCCTGGAAGGCGAGCAAAGAAAGCATAATAATTTAAAAAAAAAACGTGTTCCTTCCTCCTCGGCGTGTCTCGTGCTTAGTCTCTACACGCACAGACACTTCAACAGGTCTCAAACATCAAAGGAAAGAGCACACTAAGGTGGAAAATGTGTCCCTCGCCCCGCACCATTTCCATTTTTCATACGACACATACACCCATAGAGGCACACACACACACACCGCAGATGTATTTCTACTTCTCTTGCTGACATCCCCCATCCCTTCACATGATACTGAGTATGCATGTGTATAATCGCTTTTAGTTTTCTCTGTCAATATGTATTATTTTATACAGCGTTGTTTCTACCTCCATATTTTTTTTTCCTTCCATCTTGTCTTTTTGCTCCGTCTCACTTCTGTTGTTATCGCCATTGTTGATTATTAGTTTTTGCCCCTAAATATCTCTTCTTCCCTCACTTACTTTGCGCCTGCATAGTTGCTCCGCCTGCGTCAGCTCGACGCATCATCGCCCTCACACACACAGACCCAAAGCCGCAAGCAAGACAAAGGCCGGGGGTCCGGATGATAAACTCTGCCGTCTCACTTTCACTGTGCTCTTTCGAGCGCCGCGTGCCTCTCGTCGCACGGCCAGTGACAACCCACACGCGCTGTGTGGTCTGTATGTGGCGGCTATAGTGAAGGCCAACAGGCCCGTGAAGGTTGGGCTGAACGTTGCAACTCTAGACAACAGGGAAGCCCCACCACCACCACCACCACCACCAAATCAACAAGCTGCAGCATCAGTCACACACACACACACACACACACAAGAAAAGGGACATGAAAAACATTAGATCCCATGCATAAAAATAATTAAAATAATAATAATAATAATACACAGAAAGACGAACAAGAAGAAAAGTCAAGTAGGTCAAATAAAGAAATGTCAATAACGACAGAAAAGACTGCAAAACAAAATGTTCAACTACATATACTGCTGCCACTACCAGGCAGACTTCTTAACTTATTCCGGGCAGTTCCCGGGGGAAAGTGATGTTGCCGCCTCGTCCTTACCATTGCCTTCCTTTATAAGGCCGAGCACCTGTGTCATGAAATCCTCGTTCTTTGGACTCTTCTTGTACTTCACGGCTTCCGCAATAGCATCCTCAAACATCTGCACAACGTTGGTGCCGTCTGCGGCGGAGACGTAGTGTAAGGTAAGGCCATGCTTCTCCACAAATGCAAAGGTCTTAGACACCACAGATGGGTCTGTGTCTATTTTATTGCATGCCACAACACAGGGAATATATTCCCGATAATTGCGTAGCTCACTAAGCCACTTCTCCAGGTTTTTATAAGTTGCCTTTCGCGTCATGTCAAAGACCAAAATGCATGCGTGGGCTTCATGATAATACGCGGGATGCATCGTTGAAAAACGCTCTTGACCTGCTGTATCCCAAATATCAACATCTATCGCCTCATCATCTTTGCTGATAAAGTCGTAGTGATACAACGTTAGGGCGTATGTTGACATTTGCACCGGAATGTAGCGCTGCATCAAGAAACGCTCTACCAACTTCGATTTCCCCACCGCACTGTCGCCAAGAAGAATAAGTTTCACAGGCGTTCTGGTCTCATCTGATTTGTTGTCCACTACCTTCTTTATTTTCAGAGACATTTATATATGCGTGTGCGACTGTGGCTATATTATATTATATTATAATATACGAGGCTCTCTCTCTCTCACGCACACACAAAATGAAGAACTAGCGATGTTGCTTCCACTCTACAGAACTGCCACACTCTCCTTTCCTCACAATTAGCTTCGTGTATTGACTAGGGTTAACCCACTTGTTTTCTACAACGCAAGTGCAAGGGGAGGTGAACCCAAAAGAAACCCATTTATTAGAACAAATAGTAGAGAAGTGAGACATCCCCACTCACTTCCTTCAAGGGAGCAGGTTGTAGTTTTGGAAGGTGATGTGAATACACGTGTGTGGTGTGTTGAAGAACGAAGAGAGACACGTTTTGTCGTTGTTTTATTTCTTTTTTGGTTCGACTTCTCCTTCGCCCCCCACCACTACCCGCTGCATTCACCCCGGCATAGATTTCTTATCCGTGACGGCGGTAAGCCCCAGAGTCATCTATGAAGTCTCACCGAAGGAGCCCACAACGCGCACACAGTGTTCATCAGTGAGCCCGGTCACCTTATATTCCCTTTATTGGAAACTTCATCGGCGGTGAGAGCGCCAGCAGCGGTGCCTGGGACTCATTGACACGCTTGCGCATGGTGTTTAGCCCCTCCTTCTTCTTCTTGTCCTCAATGCCTATGTCCTCCACACGTTTTTCCTTTGCAAGCATGTCCTTTTCCACAACCACGGCCTCCGTTGTTATTACCATCCCCGCCACGGAGCACGCGTTCACCACCGCTGACTTGACCACCTTCGTCGGGTTAATAATACCTGCGGCAAACATGTCAGCGTACTCACCCGTGTGAGCATTGTAGCCAAACACCGGGTCGTTCCTCTTCATGATCTTGCCTAGAACCACGCTACCCTCCACCTTGGCATCGTTCGCAATACAACGGCACGGCTCTTCTTATCGCTTCTGTGCGACTTGACGCAGTCGCCAAGGACTGTGGCCTTCCAGGCGATATTCGAACCGGCGTCAACATTGTGAAAAAGGCAATAAGAAGAGCCGTGCCACCGCCAGCCAAAACGCCCTCCGCCACGGCAGCGCGTGTGGCGTTCAATGCGTCGACAATGCGATCTTTCTTCTCATTAATTTCCACCTCCGAGGCGCCACCAACTTTGACAACGGCAACACCACCCGAGAGCTGTGCCAGGCGCTCAACGAGTCGCTCACGGTTGTATTCATGATCCTCAGCGGCAATCATGTCTCGAATCATTTGTACTCGCTCTTCCACAGCAATGGCACTACCACCACCCTCCATGAGAATGCACTCGTCTCGAGAGATCGTCGCCCTCTTGCACGAGCCAAGCAGGCGATCTGAGAAATCGTTGTGATCAAGGCTTAACCCTAAGTCTTCCGATATCATCTGCGCCCCTGTAAAGATAGCAATACCCTGCAGTTGATTGATGCACATATCACCAAAACCAGGTGCCTTCACTGCACAGCCCAAAATTCTGCCTTGCATCTTGTTGTACAAAAATGTGTGCATTGTCTCCCCATCCAGATCCTCCAAAATAACCAAAAGAGGCCGCTTTTGCTGAATGGTGTAGTTCAACGCTGGAAGAATGTGCGCCACATTAGAGAGTTTGCGATTTGTCACAAATATCAAGGCGCTATCTAACTCGCACTTCTGCGATTTGGTATTCGTCACAAAGTAGGGTGAAGAGTACCCTCGTTCAAAGGACATGCCCTCAGAAAGCTCCAGCTCCGTGTGAAGTGAGCAACCCTCCTGGGTGGTGATAACGCCATCTTTACCAACCTGCTACATGGCGTCTCCAATCAGAGCCCCAATTTCGTTATCCATGTTGGCGGAAATCATCGCCACCTGTATGATCTCTGATTTGGAGGTCATTGGCTTCGCCTGTTCCGCGAGCGAAGCAAGCACCTCACGACACGCAAAATCAACACCCCGCTTGAGGTCCATCGGGTGGGTGCGGTGGCCACGCTGCGATACCCCCCACGGAAAATGGCACCCGAGAGAATGGTGGCTGTTGTCGTGCCATCACCCACGTTGTCGTTCGTTATAAGCCGGCCACCTGCCGCACGAGGTTTGCACCCAAATTCTCAAAACTATTCTCAAACTCAACGTGCTTCGCGACCGTCACCCCGTCTTTTGTGATCTTTGGACTGGCGTACGGCATCTCAAGCGCAACGTTTCGCCCTTTCGGGCCAAGTGTCACGCCCACTGCCTTCACGAGATTTTCGACGCTAAAAAGCAGCGCCTTGCCGAGCCTCCACGGAGTAGCGAATGTCCTTTGGTGTGGAGCCGTACTGTATGTGGCACATCAATGTCCACCGCTACATCTTCGCAAAAACGTAAATACGCTGCAACACAACAGATATATATATATATATATATAAAGGTAGGTGAAGAGAAGAAGGAAGGGGGAAAAATAATCAAAAACAAGCTTCATTCCCGGCCTCCTTAATCATTCAACCGCAATCAAAGAGAACGTTTCAGACCAGTTTATAAAATTATACACTAACGGTTCGTATCACCGGTAAAACGTCGATAACACAACCGGGTTGGGAATGCGAAAGGTACAAAAAAAAATCCCATGCGACAGTGGCAACTCAATCGCCCACGTTCCTCCTGGCTGGCGGTGCACCAGCACAACCGGCACCTCCTCGAGGAGGTTATCGGTTCGGCCCAGCATTGCCAGAGGCGCACTCCTCATACCACACGATACCTCCTCCTGCGATGGCATGTGGGGCAAATGCCCATGGCGTAGCACAAGAGTGAAGCATTCCCCACCGCCATGACGGACCACGCAGTCGCGCTCTTTATTGTTCGCGTATTCTTCAACGAGAGACGCGGCAAACCGCCTCGAGCAGAAGCGGTGGGCAAACCACATGACATTCCACGACGCGTGTTGACCGCAGTGGGGAACGTCGTTGCGACAGAGGCGCCCCACTGGAGACAGCGGGGAGTCAGTCACCGGGTCGCGCCAATAAACCATTTTGTCCCAACTCCCACACATGTCCGCAACGGACGCAAAAACCGTACAAGCAGAGAAAAAAACACCACCAGTCCACGTATATCCATCGTCCACAGGGCAAAGCAACGACACAACACTGCTTCCACGCATCTGGGACCCGTGGCGTTGCTTTCGATGTTCGCTTCTCGCTTGGGCCCCGCGTGAATCATCACTGGTTGCAGGCGCATACGCAGGGCACCTGCCCTTGTGGCGCTGCACACGTTTCTCCAGGCCTGCTGGCCCATTAACATCCGCTAAAGACACAACAGATTGCGCCACCTCGAAGCGGTCGTCTGGATCCACAAATGTGACGATGTGCAGGACGACAGACGCGCCAACGTCGATGGGATCATGATCCACCAACCACACACACACACCTTACCACTCGTCCAAAAAAAAAAGCGAGAGAATGCCCGTGGCTCCGTGCGCACGGGCATCACCCGCAAGAACTGTGTAGCCTCGCGGAACATGCAATGCGATGACACGAGCAGGACTCCGTTTCGTAAAAGCATGGTAGAATCCATCCCCCAGCAGAGTTGGCATCATTGGTGCACGTATTGTTCGCCAAACAGTACCAGCACAGATGCAGAAAGAAACAAAATAATAATATAAATTAAAACAAAAAATCATGTCACAATAAGAGCCATAAGTTTGTCGCCTTGAAACACAATAGAGAAGACAGAGGAGGCAAGACGATTACGAAGCAAAGCACCTTCGGCATAAATCAAGGCACGGCATCTTGACTTACACTCCCGCAACAAGGCAACACACAGGGAAAGGAATGCGTGGTGTGTGGCAAAGCCAAGCCAAGCCCGTACTTTTCCTGTAAACATATATATGTATAACTCGATAAATGTAACTCGATACTGAAACCGTAAAAAAAAAATCAGCATTACTAGTTGCCTCCCCTTCACACACGCTGCGCTCATCTAGCTGCATGGACAAAGTGCCCCTTTTGAATCTTTTTGTAATCACAGCCATGTCATACGTGAGATTTGCTGCTCCAAGCGTAGCAAATGACGCACCCCCGCCTGACGCGTGTACGCCGAGGGGCCCGTCGGCATCTCCGCGCAAGCAAGTCGGCTCATGCCAAGTAGGTTCCACTCTTTTTCCTGTGTCATACGTTCCTCGTGCTGAACGCGCAATGGACGCTTATCCGCCATCAGTGCGGACAAAGCCTGTGCGGAAATCGCCTCTGTCGTTGGAGGAAGCACATCGCAAAACTCCCTCCCTACATGTTCCCCAACCACCTGAAAGGGAAAGGACCTTAGGGACGTGAGAGAGAAGCCGCTAAACGGTGGCGCACCATGTGCTGTTCGATTCGCTGGAGTCATTCCTCCCAATTGTGCCCCACCTTTTACATGCATCTTTTCATGCGATGAACGTTGTTTTTGCTTCTCGTCACGCCGACCGCCATTCACTTCAATCGCACAGGAGGCATACGACTCCGCGGAGAGTTGTTGCGTCGCTGGAAGCACAAAATCTATCGACGGGACGTAGCCGCAGGTAGAGCTAGCGTTGTCCGTCGCCGTGACGAGGTTCGCTCCGCCCACGGTTCCGTTTCCCCCTCCCTCAGCGAGGGCGGTGCTCTTTGCATTGACGACCACGGTGGCATCGACCACTTCCCCAAGCCGCAACGAGCCCATCTCGTCCCCCAACCCGCACTGTGGTTGGAACTCATGCAATTCAGGCTCTAGGGCCTGAATACGCCGAGCAAGCACATCGAGCAACGCCCGTGATTCCCTAACGTCTTTCACGGCGCGAACCCCCTCAGCCTCAACATTGTTCACTTGCCGCAGTACTTCCGACCGCAATGGTATGTGTGGAGGACACAGCGCCATCTGCAGCGCAAGTCCACGGCGTTCCGCAGCACAGCGCGACACAACGTCTCTCACGCTCACCCCGCTGGCGCTGAAGAGAGTGCGTAGCAGATGAACGGCACGTTTCGGCTGCGTGCTGAGACAAGGTGCTTTCATTTCCTCAATGGCGGCATCCTTTGCGTCGCTCACGGCTTCGGGACATACAACCTCCATAAGGCATTTCATGATGTGCGGTGTCACGTGACCAACACCAAAGCACACCATGTATTCCCACGCAAGCCCATCCATGGCTACGACTGCCTGTGACACCAAAGTGTCCCCCGCTTGCCCCCAGCTCTCCAGCCGCGCCATAAGACTCTGGTGAACGAAGCAAAGACAGCAAAGCAGAAAAGCTGCTTCAGTTTCAAGGCAGAAGCAAAACGGCCCCAACAGCAGCCCCACCACGGCGCGCAGATGCTACAGCCACAAAACCAACTAGAACAAGAACGCGTCCCTATCGTCCCCACTCACAGCTGATAGGTTTTTTTTGTTTCCAACGCAAATCGCGTCGCGCTCCTTGCTTCTTTTTTGGTTGTTCGTAATTGGGAACCCACATATAGAAGAAGAGAACGGTTGTTTGTTTTCTCTCTTACAACACAAACACAGTCAAGACTACCGCCGTCACGGCAAGCAAACAACAAAGACAAGCCCCCAAAGGCGCTGGAAACTATACCACGGTGTTCCTATGTCAGCCAGCAATTGTGCTCACATGTTAAAGAGAAAAGATGCACAACCGCGACTCGTCCTGGTGCCGACAAAAACACAGAAAAATAATACACAAACGCACGTGCATACACACTATACCTATATAGATAGATATAGATGGAAAGATGGAAAGATGGAGAACGCACGCGGGTGTGAAGCGTTTAACATCAACGCTCGTATGCTTCACAAACGCAAAATCGATGCAACAAGGCCCGGGCACCCCAGGAACGTTTGTCGCCTCCCAAATCTATTTGGCAGCATGTGAGTGCGCCGATGGACCATCATGACGGCGGCTTCGGGAATGGTGGGGGGACAAGTGTAAAGGACCGCAACGAGTTGGGCACAGAGTGGTTTCCAGTACTGATGGATGACTGTTGACACGCACAGCGCGAGGCCAACTCCACAACGGTGCTCATCGGGGACTCTGAAAAGGGCGGAAAATAAACAGAAGATATTGAAGAAGAGGTCACCCAAACCGGAAATAGACTATCATGTTCTCCCTTATTCGCTACGCCCTGTCCGCATCGCTCGTGCTTCTCTGCCTCATGTCTTTCTCCAGCGGAGCCATGAAAATGATGGCCATGCCCACAGCCATGGGAATGGTCATGGTAGTGAGCCGAATGATCCACCGTCCCCGGACCATCTGCATCATCGTCCTCTTCGTGTGGGGCTCGAGCTTCGACGAAGACGTGCGACGCAACCTGTTCGAGAGTGCGCCGTACCGCTACCGTCACGGCGGAGGGATCCGCAGATGACATGAGCCGTACGTACACAAGTGCCATCATCTCACCTTTCGCCACCTCCCAAAAAATGGCAGACTGAACTTGAAGCACACCCTCAACCAGTTTCACGTTACGAATAGCACCATCACAGGCAGCCACAACGGACGGCTGGCAAACCATATTGTTTGTAAGTAGCCACGCCATCTCCTTCGCTTTCCTGAAGGAAACCACACACGTGTAGACTGCCAACAGAAACGCCCCACCCATTTCCCACAGGGGATTTCTCAAAAACATTGTCGCAAGACATACTGCGATGCATGTCAATGGAGCAAAGGCACGCGCACCAGCACGCACAGTGCGATTAAAAAATAATGACCCACACGACATCTCCTTTGCGGGCTTCCGAAGCTGTTGAGCTGTGCAGCTCACCTGTCTGGTGGATAGGCTGTGCACATCGTGGGGATCAACACCTCTACCGCTAACACAATCGTACGCGTCGATTTCATCTGCGTACACAGTTACCAAGACAACATGGCATACGCTAATAATAATTAGCAGGGCAGGGGGCATGTCAGATGCGTGGAGAGCGTGATGAAGATTCTCCCCAATCATTGTAAGGCAGCCAAACATGAGAAAGACGGTAGAACCAAATGAAACCAACACAAAAAGTCGCCTCATGCCAAAAGGACAGCTGATATTCACATTAGCATCCAGTTGAGACGAATTCCTCCTTCTTTGTACTCGGCTTCTACCAGAGGGAAACAGTGGCCGGCTGTTTTCGCCCTTGAAGAACGACGACGTCAGAGAGTTGTGACCGTAATGGCACGACGCAGCGGCGGCCGCAAGTGTCGTGCACGCGTGGAGTACAACCAAGGAGTTTACATTGAGAATTAGACACTCAAAGTAAATGCTTAGGATTAAATCGAAAATCCAGAGTGCAAAGAAAACTATACTAATTCTGCAGAGTCGCCGCACCTCGGGATCGGCATCCGCCATCAAAAGGCACAGAGCATTCCATGTCATTCTGTATTTCACCACAGTGCCTTCACCCCCCACCACCACCACCCACCAAAAAAAAAAGGCAAAACAAAATGAAGGGAAGCCCAACGAAAGACACAACAATGCCACCACGGTCCTAATTTCCCTCTTCGTGCCACCTCACAACACATTACACGCGCAGGCCCGTATATACACAGGCTTAGACATCTATATACGTATATAGACAGATAGATATGTTTCCCATCTCTCTGGTCGTTCTTTTTTTCTTTCTTTGCCACTCGCATCCGCAACCAGACGCACGTGCACACCAAGTAACTCATAAACGCCCAATACTCCCTAAAGCAAAGAACGGTCCTCAAGTACGGTGACGCTTCATATGACTACCCGTGCTGAGCAGCGGTATCAAATGAGCCATGCCGGCAGCCTTTAGCGCCGACCTTATGTCCTGTGCCGAAAGTGTCACCCGTTTCGTTGCGTCCCGAGATCGTTCATCCTCAGCAAGACATGACAGGTAGAACAGGAAGAGTGTAGCTGCCTTTTGCAAAGCGGTACGAGCATCCTTCGACAGAAGCATACCATCCGGTAACGCCGCCGATACGATCCGGTCCACCTGGCCAGCGGCAAGACTGCGAACCTTTAGCGTGGTAGCAGTGGACAAACTTGTCCCCGAGGCATCCTTTGGAATTTGCACAGAAAGAGCAGGAACAATGATCTGCCCACTCGAAGAAGCCCCCTCCATGTAAATGGCTAATAACAGGATGAACAAAGATAAACCAAACCGGAAGAAGCATTTAATCAACTTCAAGCAGGGTCTGCTTACACAGACACACTTGGGCACACGGCTCCCCAGCAATGGCGAGGCAGCAGGCAGGCACGTGAAAAGCAACACACAGAGAGCGAGAGAGAAGGGGGAGAGAGATAGAGAGATAGAGAGGAAGAGCGGCATCAGCCACGAAAGTGAACGGGGTTCAA